CAAACGTTTTTGCTAAGATCTTTGCAGAATTTCCGGGAATAACTGGTATCGATCAACGAATTCCATTAAAGCATCGCGACATCGAACATCACATACTAACGAATGGTCCTCCGATCTCTGAACGTTCCAGACGCCTAGCTCCGGACAAGCTAAAAGCCGCTAAGGCAGAATTTAAACGTCTTATGGACTTAGGTATTTGCCGTCCCTCAAGCAGTCCGTGGGCTAGCCCGATACATCTGATACGTAAAAAAACAGGCGAATGGCGTATCTGTGGCGACTATCGCCGATTAAATGCGGTAACTATCCCGGATAAATATCCAGTACCTCATTTACACGATTTTTCTACGAATCTTAATACAAAAAAATATTTTCTTTGCTCGACCTCTTCAAAGCATACCATCAAATCCCAGTAGCAAATGACGATATCCAAAAAACAGCAGTAATTACTCCGTTCGGTCTTTTTGAATTTATCACTATGACATTCGGCCTCCGGAATGCTGCTCAATCGTTTCAACGGTATATTCATCGCGCGCTCAGGGATCTTGATTTTATTTTCGTGTACATAGATGATATCCTTATCGCATCCTCATCTATAGAGGAGCATAAGGAACATCTCCGCTTAGTCTGCCGTAGGCTTAAGGAATTTGGATTAATCATTAACCCATCTAAATGCGTTTTAGGCGTCGAAGAAATAATCTTTCTAGGACACCACATTAATAGCCAAGGTTTTAAACCTACCACAGAAAAAGTTGCAGCTATTCTCGACTTTCCTAAACCTCGCACAATAATCGAGTTGCGACGGTTTTTAGACGCGTTAAATTTTTATCGATGCAGCTTTCCGCATGCTGCAAGCGTTCAATCTCCTCTTCACGCGTATCTTACGGATTCGCGCAAAAACGATAAATGCGAAATAGCGTGGAATTCAGAAGCGGAAACTGCGTTTTCCAAGGCCAAACAAGACCTAGCAAATGCAGCGCTTTTAATTCATCCTTCTGACACCGCAGAAACGCGCATTGTTACAGACGCTTCGGATATTGCAATGGGAGCTTCCTTAGAACAATACATATCAAACGCTTGGAAACCTCTCGCCTTTTTCTCGCGCAAATTCACTGCGTCTCAACAAAAATACAGCGCATACGATCGTGAACTAACAGCGGTATATGAAGCTTTGAAGTTCTTCAGACACTTTGTCGAAGGCCGCGTGTTTAAAGTATCTACAGATCACAAACCGTTGATTTATGCTTTTAAACAACGTTCAGATAAGGCCTCTCCGAGGCAACTACGACGGCTATCTTTTATAGCTCAATTCACTACTAATTTTGAATATCTCCCGGGAACGGACAACGTAGTAGCTGATAGCTTATCGCGAATAGAAGCCCTACGCCTTCCTGTCGAATTCGAGCTAGTCGATTTAGCAGAACGGCAATCTCAGGACGCAGAACTTAAACATCTGTTAACATCGCACAATTGCTCACTCAAACTTAAAAGATTTACTTGGGGATCTCCTCCCACAGAGTTATACTGCGAATTGTCTGGTGAATCTATACGTCCCTACATTCCAGCCTCCCTTAGAAAACAAGTCTTTGACATGTTCCACGGCCCTGCTCATCCCAGCGCTAAAGTCACTGATCGAATAATCCGCCAACGATACATATGGCCTAATTTACACCGTGACGTCGCAGTCTGGTCGCGAGAGTGTATCGATTGTCAACAATCAAAAACTACACGACATGTCAAGCATCTACCCGCATTTTTTACCGCGCCGGACGGCCGTTTCGACGTTTCCACGTTCATATGGACATTATTGGTCCGTTGCCTCCTTGCAACAATTTCAAATATTGTCTAACGATTATAGACCGTTTTTCGCGCTGGCCAGAAGCCATTCCCCTTCGCGACATTATGGCGCGTACAGTGGCACAAGCTTTTTATGATAACTGGATCGCACGATTCGGCACATCTCGGATCCTCACAACCGACCAAGGCGCTCAATTTGAGTCTCAGCTTTTCTCCGCTCTGTTATCTCTCACGGGTTGCAAGCGAATTCGTACTACCGCATACCACCCCGCTGCGAATGGCTTGATAGAGAGATGGCACCGTACCTTAAAAGCAGCCCTAATGTGACACAATTCTCCAGATTGGGTAAGCGTATTATCAACTGTTCTACTCGGATTACGCACTCATGTGCGCTTAGATACGGGCGCTTCCCCAGCAGAATTTCTGTATGGCACAACTTTGCGTGTACCGGGTGAATTCTTCATTCAAGAAGACTTTACACCGGATCCACAGATTTTTATCGAGGATTTCCGCCAATACATGCGTCAGATAAAACCTATTCCAGTATCACATCACAACAAAAAAAGCCCATTTCGTTATAAAGACCTTCAGTCATGGGGTGTTTACGATAATTCAAGTTCGAGTTAGTTTCACTAGGACCGAAAAATGAGATAGACATAACCATCTAGAATCTTTATGATTTATGACAACTCGACGCTGTCTTGTATTGCTTGAGTTAAATTAATTGAATTTGTTGAGTTTATAGAGCAAATTTTATTGTAATAAAAAAATGTCAACTGCAAATCAGTCTATGAAAGAAACAAATAATGTTGTATGTATGTTGGTATACCTCTTTAATAGATATAATTATATATATATGTATATAATTATATTTATTAAACTCAACAAATTCAATGAATTTAACTCAAGCAATACAAGACAGCGTCGAGTTGTCATGAATCATAAAGGTTCTAGATGGTTATGTATATCTCATTGTCGGTCCTAGTGAAACTAACTCGAACTTGAATTATCGTAAACACCCATGCTCACACATATTTCTACGCTCCGATGCAGTAAAAAAACCTCTTGAGCGACCATACTCCGGTCCGTTTAAAGTTCTACAACGTGTTTCCGACCGAGTTTTTACAATTGAAATTAATGGAAAGCCTCAAAATGTATCCGTCGAAAGACTTAAACCGGCGCATTTTATAGCCGACAGTATCAATGCGCCTCAACTCGCGGATACTTATAAATCGAGCGATTCTCATACAACGTCACTTAAAACTTATTCTGGTCCCAAAAAACATGTAAATTTTAAGTTACCTTAAGCATTATCTTTTGTATTGTATTCTTTTAATTTAAGGCTCTAGTTAATAAGTGCGTTTAAAATTATCTTAACTTTTAAGAAAAAGCTTTATACTCCTGTAAGTACCTTGTAAACATTGTGCAATAATTATGTTCTGTTTATATCGTTTACACTCGGGGGGGAGTATGTAGGCTATGCCGACTACTGCGCTCTCGACGTTACCGACTAAGCCTAGGGAGTCTAGAGACTCACGTGCATGGTATGAAAAAAGAGAGTACGGCCTGATCCTTTGTAAAGACAAGACGTAATACATAATTTTCTGATATTTAAATACTACACGTCTCTCATAGTGCTTATATCCTAACACGTAAATCCTCTTCAACCTATTGGAAATATTGTGGGCCTCCACGTCGAAGAAAATTAACCAGGACGTCAACCACAGGGTAACCTAACCCCCGAGATACGTTTCTGGATATAATAGTGCCCACACTAGCGTAAAGCGTCGCGCGCTCTAGCGATAGAAAATCGATATAAGCACTGCGAGGTGTGACCTACCGCGTTTTACGTCAATACGGAGCAATCGATGTAAGATACGAAATAAGAAATAATTTAAATTTTTTATTAAAAATGTAAATTTTATTTTTGTTTAAGAAAACGTCGTAACATAGCAATTTAAATATTGACAATTTTTCGGCAAAAATATAATAACTTTAATTTTACTATTAAGTGTACATTACGTATCTTAAAAGTTAAATTGAATATAAAATATCAGAAAAAAGTAGAAGCAACAAACACAAATTTCGGGATAACTTTAACAGTATTCAACAAGATCTAGTACTTTCACATTTGTAACATAAAATATAGCATATCGTTTGTCGCATTTACAACACAATATAGTACATCATTATTTTTGTTAGTAAATATAACAAATCATTTTCCGATAAATGTAATAATATTTTATGTATTACGAGATGTTTCTTGCTTTCAAAATTCTGTCTTAAAACTTAGGGCGTTTTAATATGTTGTATTATAACAAAAATGAATAAGTGTACGAGTTAAAATTAAGGTAAATACAGAATTTAATTTTAAAAATACTATACAATACAAAATACGATACAAGATGTAATATACAATAATAATCTGTTTATCAAAATTAAAATTTCTTATACAAGGAATGTCCTGTAACTCATAAAACATTTAGTACAATGTAAAAGTTCCAAGGTTGAGTCGCGGGTTTGTGTTGCTGCGTTTAACTTATGTGCTCTATATTCTCTTTCCTCCTTCTCTCTCTTTCTCTTTCTTTCTTATGCTATATATCAGAACACACATTGTTGTTCTCTATTCTCTGCATTCTTTCAAATCGAAATTGGCGAGACTTATTCTTGCTATATTGTCGTATATTGCAACAAAAAATCACAGCTTTAGAAAGCAAAACATTAAAACAGATCTCAATCAAATCTCACTGTACTCTTTTATATTGATTTTCTTATTATATTTATATTTTTCAATATTTTTGTATAGTGAAAAAGTTTATCTCGTAAATTCTTACTTATAATTTTACATTTCATACTAAATGTATGTTTCTTATTTTTTTAAGTTTAGAACTCGCTATAAAATTTACCTTGTAAAGTTCATAAAATTACTATACTTTTTTTGACATATTTTGTATAAATATAATAATTTTATTCCATTTGTTTAACATGTGCTGACTAGTAAGATTAAAAAACAAGATAATGATATTTAAAAATAAAGAAATACATATGTTAAATGTATTTGAGCTCTCTAAAAATTGTGAGTATTCTATATTTGCATAATTAAAATAATATGATTAATTGAAAATTGAAATTATATACCCCAAAAAAAAATAAAATATAGAGAGAAAAGAAAACATTTTCTTATTTTTTAATTAATTTTAACAAAAGTAAAATATTTTTAATAAGAAGAAATTATCTTATATTATATTGCTTAGAATCCCTTAACAATTTTAATTTATGGATTTCTGTTTTATGCTTTGCCACTATTTTCCTTAAACCTAAATGGAAGCATCTCTTATGTTCAATATTTAATGGGCATAAAAATAACGGATAGTTAATCGTCAGAAATGGGAGTATTGCAATTTCCATGCCATAATTTGGTCTCCGAATGGCATTCTGAGTAATTAGCAAATATATCTGAATAACCACGATCACGCCACCAGGTACAAAGTTGCCTATTCCATCCACAATCAATCGTGTGAATAAGCTCCGGTTTTTCCATGCCTAAAAGTGTGTAGAAATCTTGATCCCCTAAATGGCCCTGTAACAAAATAGATAATTTATCAATTTCTAAATAAAATTAAATCGTTAAAATATCAGCTACTTTTTCCAGTTTTAATTTACCTTAAAGTGATATTTCCTCGTCATTATATCCACGCTATTTTTACTAACAGCCTCATTGTACATATGTGACTTTCGTAATCTCTCTAAATTAAAAAGCACCACCCCGCTATTATAACCAGGGTAACCGCCTTTGTGTCGAGGCTCGCCAAACATCGTCGTTGGATGCTTACTACGATATAAGTACAAAACATGTCGATATACTGGAGTGAGTTCTGGAGCTAAGCCAAATAAAGCCCCTTTCCCAAAATTGTTGAATTCCTCGAATAAATTCTTCACATCTTTGCGAAATTTTGTGTCCGCGTCGAACATAATTGCAAGTCTTTGACAGTTGGGTGCAATTCTGTGTAAACCCAATGAGAGAAAAAATAATGCGTCTGAGTAATACGTTCCTGGTTTGCTGCTGAAGTGTGGAGACATGATCGACACGATATCTTCTAATTGTACAGCCAATTTGTGTACATCATAATAAAATACCTAAACATAAATAAAAAATATTTATTTATATGTTTCAGACATAAATTTCAGATCAATGATTTCAATAAAGGTATCAACGGGTAACATTTTATATGATCTTGGATAACCTTGTCAGTCACGTGTCATTTCAAAAAATTTAAAATCCCTATTTTTATAGTATATTTTTACAGTTGATATTTTGAGATACATTTAAAAACAAAGAAATACTATAAATTCAAGAGAATAAATAAAAAGCTAAACAGCCGTTGCTAGCCGTTGGTCGTGCTAGTGTATTCAAAGACAAATACAACGTTTCGACCTGTTATTAGGTCTTCTTCAAGTTCATAATAAAAGAAATATTACATTATAAATTAAAACGCTTTTTCAGACAATTTAAACAAATTATTATAAAACATCGCTGGTGTATGTTGTTGTTAGTATGTAGTTGTGTATTAAAAAATTACTTGATGCATTATAAATGAACAAAGTCAATCACAGATATCAATGAATAAAAAGAATGAAATTGTTGGTCATTATCTTGATTACACTAAAACGCTAGTAAAACGTTAGTAGTAGATGGAGTATGATTTCTAAGAACATTCATATTCCTTTAAATGAGTTTTTAACGGGTATTCGTTTAATTTTAAATTCTACTTTCTTTAAGTTTAATGACAAGATTTATAAGCAAACATTTGGTACTTTTATGGGCCCACCCTTGTCTCCTTTAATCGCGGACTTAGTCCTTCAAGACCTTGAAATTAAAGCAATTAACAAATTATTCTTTCAGTTATCGTTTTATCATAGATATGTCGACGATATTATTTTAGCGGTTCCACCCTCATCCTTAGACATAACCTTGGAGATTTTTAATTCCTTTTATAGTAGACTATAATTCACATTGAAAAAAAGTAGAGATAACCACATTAACTTTTTAGACACAAAAGTTATCTAAGATAATAACAGTCATATTTGATTGGTTTCAAAAACCTACATCCTCCGGTAGATATTTGAATTTTCATTCACACCATCCCACAAAAAGGGCATTATCATTGGACTAGTAGATAGAATATTCCTGTTGTCTCATCCAAAATTTCACGAAAAAAAACTTGAGATTGGCCATATATATTTTGTTAACGAATTGTTATTCCATAAGTTTTATATTCACAACTATTCACAAAAGACTCAAATTTTTAATTCATAATAAAACATTGAATAATATAGACGTCGATAATAGAATGGACTGTAAAATAAACGATGATACAAGAGTCCAAAAAAATTTTTTTACGGTTTTATTTGTTAAAACTATTTTGGGGGATTTCACATCTATAGCAAGAACTTGTGATTTAAAATTAGCTTTTTCTATTGGGAACAATCTTAAGCAATTTATTAAAACAGACAAAGATCAATTAGATTCATTTTCTCATTGTGGAGTAGTGTACAAAATTTCATGTTATGACTGTAAAGTTACATATGTGGGGCAGACCAAAAAAAAACTCATTACAAGAATCAAGGAACATAAGTCAGACATTAACAAAAAAAGTGGATCTCCTTCTGTTATCTCTAAACACAGATTAGATTCCTCACATAAAATAGATTGGGAAAATATTAAAATATTAGATGAAGAACAATCGTAGCAAGAGGTTAATTTCAAAAATACTCCACATTAAGAGACAAAAGGAAGGATTAAATCTAAAAAACGACACAGAATCATTGCCAAATGAATATCTTCCTGTATTAAATTTATTCCCTCCTATATGATGGATTCTCCTTTTTTCTTATTTCCCTCTTCTTTATTTCCATGGTCCCCTTCCTTTTTCCCACCCTAGTACTTTGGGCTGAGGATCTCACTGTCTCCTTTACTGATTCACTGTTAATTTATCTATTGACACATAAGTTCAAGTTTTCTGCCTATAATCGTTGACCAGCAATCTCTGGCTTTTCCAATGGAACTTGGCTCTCCTTTTTCAAACTATGATTTAAACAATGATATCATTGCGAATGATGTACGTATAATTTCAATTTTGTTGCGTTTTATTTTTATTATATTTTCAATTTTGTAATTCAAATTTCTTTGCGTTTTAGTGTAATCAAGATAATGACTAACAATTTTATTCTTTTTATTCACTGATATCTGTGATTGACTTCGTTCATTTATAATGCATCAAGTAACTTTTTAATACACAATACATACTAACAACAACATACACCAGCGATGTTTTATAATAATTCGTTTAATTCGTCCGAAAAAGCGTTTTAATTTATAATGTTATATTTCTTTTATTATGAACTTGAAGAAGGCCTAATAACAGGTCAAAACGCTGTTTTTATTATTTGTCTTTGAATACACTAGTACGACCATCTAGCAACGACTGTTTAGTTTTTTATTTATTTCTCTGAATTTATTTCATTATTTCAGTTTTAATATATTTTAATTGAAATACTATAACTTTTAAGTTTTATAACTCTACAAAGCAATTTAAAAAAGTAGAATAATTTTAAGGAAGTTTTTAACAAAAAAGATTAATTATATCATTTTAACATAATTCTTAAAAGATAAATATATATCCTATAAAAGAGAATAACAAAAGAACATACCTCCATAAACTTTTCAGTATTGGTCATGACATCTTGAATAATAGTTTGGGCTATTCTTTGACTATCATTATCACTTATCACATGAAAGGCAATGTCTACAGAGGTCAATCTAAGCAAGGAGTCCAAAAATATTTGGAACTTGTGTCTCATGGGTGAATTTAATGCGACTTTAGTAAAGATGCACCAAACATTGTAATAACCTGTTTGATTGCACGACTGAACAATCGACGAAGATGAGTAATTGGCCTTAATAGAGTAGCTAGCTGATGTTAAGGTGGTTGTAAGGTTTGCCAGATTTGCATTTTGTGTTCGTAAGTTAAACACAAAGTAGCGATCACCATTGGACATCAGATAAAAGTAAAAGACCACCAGAAGCAACGCGACAATTGTCAGCCTCAACAATAATTTGCGTAACAAGGGCATTTAACCCACTATCTTTTATTCTTCTAACCTAAAAAGAAAAAAATCAGTAGAATGTAAAAAATAAGAAAATTTTGAACAAATCAAATTATGATAGTTTAGTTTTACACTTTAATCAATCTCATAATTCTTTTCAAACTTTTTTCGATTAATCAACCTCAATCTTCACCAAATATAATTTGCTTCAATTAATTTTTGCAATTTTCTTCAAATTAATAAAATTTTAAATTAAGCAGTTCATAAAAAAATAATTACATGACATATTCCACAACTGTTTCTTTGTTACTGCATTGTTGCATTATCCGATTTAAGTTTCTCATTAAATAATACTGCGCGAATCTCTACATACATATCACTGCATATACTCAAATGCACTGTAAAATCAATTGTAATGTCACTGTTCACCACAAGTGAGTGCAGTGATTCTGTTCATTCTATATCGGTATATTTAATATTTTTTCGCATAATTATATGACTATTGTATTATTCTTGATATAATAAACAGGAAAATAGAAAATAGCGTTTTTTCGGAACAGAAATGATATCGGAATGATAGTCTAGAGCTGCCAGACGAGTCAGGTTATCCCTTCACGAGCCAGGCCGCGCTTGCGCCTACGATGGTAGGTGCAGAGAGAAGCCTGAGAGCGGTCATCCCCTCGATTTAGCTGCAACCAGAGAGAAGACTAAAGGTTTGTTCTTTATTGCTGCACTGAGTCCACACTGCACTGAACTGAATTGAAATAGCACGCGGGGACAAGTTTATGGGCTTGTTCGTTTTAGCTACACTGGGGCTGCTCTGGGTCTGCTCTACATAGGATAATACAGGACAGATAAATAGTTTGTCCTGTATTATCTTGTTTAGAGCAGACCCAGAGCTGCCCCAGTGCAGCTAAAACGAACAAGCCCAATGTAAGTCAGTGATGCAAACTCGAGCCGGCCAGCACCAAAGAGCTTATATAGGGTGTTTTCCAACTAGAACACGCTAAATTGCACTGTGTTAAGCCTTGTGTCCACGATACTAGAACTCGGTCCGAGATCTCGGACTGAGGGAAAGTTACTAGAACTCGGATCATGTACACACTGCATTTGGATGCAAAACTCGAATAAGAAGCTCAAACGAAAAAATGCGTTGCGTCCCATTTTTCGGTACGAGTTATTGCGAGTTATTAGATTTTACTAGTTTCTTTTACTATCTGTCAAGACAAAATATAAGATATTTATAGTGATACGAGATACTGTGAACAATATAAATAATATTTTAGTAAGTAATTATAGAATTGAAAAAATAAGAGAAATATAATTC